AACCCTGAGCACACTACTAGCTAGAATTAGAGGGCTTCTTTTCGAGGTCTTGCCTGGCTTAACGGCTCCCTGCTGGGTTGTAGGCTACATTGCATTCAGGCTAGGGAACACCAGAGGAGAAAAAATGGTAAGTTTGCCAATGATACTCAAATTCTTGTCTTCTTTCCAAGTCAGCCTTTAGCTATTTACTTTTCAGTCCTCAAATATTTGCTCCATGCATTCGTTCTGTCCAGGTTTTCTAGCTGCATTTAGTGGGAGAGACGAGGTCAAGCGTGAGTACTCCCCCTGACCCAGAGCCAGCGCCCTCCCCTGTTCCTTCCTAACCTCTACCCTGAATCACCTCTCTCCACCTTCAGGAAACGGCGGTGTGGGAGCTACTCTGATGGAAAGACTGAGCTCTGTTTTCACAGTGTACTGCGCGTACAGCAGCGTGTTGGGGCTCCCACTGCCAAGGGCCAGCACTGTCTTTACTCTCTTTGGCAGTTGGGCATCATGACCTGGTGGGCACGGAAAGCAGTTGGAATTGTTTTGTAAAATTAATGCTTTTGTACAGTCTGAAGGTGCATTTGACGTTTCATTTTTAGACCAGGAAAGTCATCTTACTTTCTGCATTTGTGTTCTCACTGTAGGGTAATCATGCTGTGTTATCACACTATCCTAGGTTTGCCCAACGGACCAGCCAAAACCCCGACGCAAGCCATACATACGAGAGTGTAAGTGATGAAACCCTTTCCTGGCAGTGCACCGAGTCCGATTGTCATGGCCAAAAGGGAACTGCTGGTCATTAATTCTAATGTTTTTCTCAACGTCTCTTTGAATTTATAATGTATTGATGTAGGCCTTGTTAGGACTTTTCCTTATTGTCTTAATCTTTTTTTTCTTTTGATTTTTTAAAGTTTCAGTTGACTTACAATATTGTATTAGTTTCAGGTGTACAGCATAGTGATTAGACATTTATTTAACTTACAAGGTGATCACTCTGATAAGTCCAGTACCCAGCGGACACCACACATAATTATTACACTATTATTGACCGTGGTCTCTATGCTGTACTGTATTTCACATCCCTATGACTGTTTTTATAACTGGCAACTTATATTTCTTAATCCCTTCCGCCTTTTCACCCATCTCTCCAGGCCCCCTTCCATCTGGCAACTATCAAAAAAGTTCTCTGTATCTATGCGTTTGTTTCTGTTTTGTTTGTCCATTATTTAGATTCCACACGTCACTTTATGTCTTTCTATAGGGTCAAGATATTTTTGTTCCTGTTTGAGATTGTATATTTAGTAAAACCACTAAATCTGGATTGAGGTAAACAGAGTGTGGCGAAAGTGGGTTTACAGTTGTAAGTGAAAGTTTTTATTCTTACGTTATTATTTATTATTGTATTATTTTCCATACCAACAACTGTAAACCTACTTTTGCCCCACCCTGTATATTCCTGCTTTTATTTTTTTAAAACAACATGTTTCTTCAGAATTTTACATGGGAAATGAGGTGTAATGGCATGCAGACAGAAAAGCAGTAAATTTTCTAAGTGGTTATTACTTAAACAACTAAAGTAGTAGTTCAGAATGACTAATTCCTGTCAAGAACATACGGATCTTGGAATAGTGCCCCTTGGAAGCCTCAGAATCTAATTTTTAAAAAGGGAAACTTACTGTAGGATGTTGATTTGAATATGCGCTCTGTTTTCTTCAGCTTCCAGTATATCAAAATTCAGTGTTACTACAGCCGGTGAGTCTACACACCGCTCCGGCCACACCTTCAAACCAGACACTGCCAGCCTTGCCCGCCAACCACCCAGGTACTCAGGATCCTATTAGCTGCACTAACAAGGGAAAACTGAATGTGAGTCTGCGAGAGATGTATTGGTAATAGAAAAATAAAAGAGAGAGGAAAAATTAGAGGAGTTTGTTTGCATTTTTAAGTTCCATGAAGTAAATTCAGGGTAAATACCATTCTGACATTAGGAAATTATAGAAGTGCTTGGGTTGTGCTGAATATTGTGTTTGGAGCACTGAGGGTAAATGAACCGTTAGCTGAAGTTTGAAATCCTTTTGTTGTATAGATTTGTTGCCATGGGAGTAGTATTAGAATGGCAGTGTATTTGTTTCCGTTGTCAGTCTTTGTTAGGATCTTATGTTTGAAGTCTAAATCATAAGAATACTAATTGTGCATATTCCCTTGAAAAGCACAATGTGTGTTTACTGCCTTTTTTTTTGCCTAAAGCGATGACAAAGAATGATCTCCAGCAACCCAATTACTACGAGGTAATGGAGTTTGATCCCTTAGCTCCTGCTGTCACGACAGAGTAAGTCATTTTCAGAATGATTAATTTATTTTTTGTCTTGGTTCCCTTTGGTAGCAGAGCTAACAGGGCTTGCTTATATATTTAACTTTGCTTAGATCTTGGCACAAATTGATGACCTTATTAAAAATGACTTATGAGGTTTTATGGGAGCTGTTGCTCTTAATGGTCTTACCGTTCTCGGCCTTGTGACTGAAAAATAAAAAAGCTCGGGTTGCACATTAAGAAGTAACCGGAACCATCATGTGCATTAATGGGTTCCTCGTGGATGGCTTGGCAGAAACTTGGGTTTTCTCCTGATTGAGAAGGGCACTAGTCACTGATTAATGACATAGTAACACCACACTGATGGGATTTTTAGCTGTGCTTTGACTCCTAATCCTCCCCAAAACTCATATAAGAACTTGGTGTTAGTCTTCACTACATATGACAACAGTGTGCTTAAAATGAATTAATAAAGCATTAGTAAAAATTACTTAACTTGCCCTAACCGGTTTGGCTCAGTGGATAGAGCATCGGCCTGCGGACTGAAAGGTCCCAGGTTCAATTCCAGTCAAGGGCATGTACCTTGGTTCTGAGCACATCTCCAGTAGGAGGTGTGCAGGAGGCAGCTGATTGATGTTTCTCTCTCATCGATGTTTCTGACTCTCTATCCCTCTCCCTTCCTCTCTGTAAAAAATCAATAAAATATATTTTAAAAAAACTACTTAACTTGAAATCCTTAAGGCACCATTATTTTTTGATATCCTATCAAAAAATAGGTCAAGTGTATAAAAATATTTCTGGGATGGTAGGCTCTTTAGAGCTTTAATATATTTTGATTGACTGAAGGTTAACCCCCAAATTGTTAAAAATGGTCAAAGTATGTTTATAGAAATCATTGTTCAGAAATTGGCAGCCTGCATGCTGTATCTTTGCCTACAGGTGTGCAGAATATACAATATGCATTTAAAAATTAATAGCCAACAGTTAAACACTGGGATATTCCAAAAGATATCTGGACCTATGGATTTAGATGCCAGGCCTACATTTTCACATGCTAGCAATAGGTTGGGGTTATGGAGTGGCTGTCTCCTTAAGATTAGGTAGGTTCTGCAGTCCACCAGGCCCCTTGGCCTGGCCCCCTGCATCCACTCATTTGACCTGCCTGGCATGTGGAGGTATTTGAGGGAACAGCTGGTACAAAGGCCCCAAGGAGAGAGGTTTGCTACATTCAAGGACACAGAAAAGCCAAAGCTAAGAGCAAAGAGAGCAACAGGGAACCTGTTATCAGACGTGGAAATTGCAATTTGGAAACCAAAAACGGAGTGCACAACTGTGATGAACTGCGGTGAGAGGACAAGTAAGATGAGGACTGACAGCTAGATTATAGATTAAATAAACTGGAAATCATTGATTTAAAAAAATGTTATTAATTTCAGAGAGAGGGAGAGGGAGATAGAGATAGAAACATCAATGAGAGAATCATCGATCAGCTGTCTCCTGCATGTCCCCTACTGTAACACCATGTGCCCTGACCGGCAATCAAACTGTGATCTCCTGGTTCATGGGTCAAGGCTCAACTACTGAGCCACATCGGCCAGGCTCATTAGTGATTTTAGTAAAAGCCATTTTGGTAGATGGATGGGGACAAAAGGCAAATTTCAGTGCATTAATAAGAGATGGAGTAGCGACAGTAACCAGAAACTTAAACACGAAGGGATGCTGGGAAATGCTTTGGAAGCTAGAGGGTTACTGAGGTGATTACCAAGTAGACACAGGGTTAGGGACTATACTGTTGATGCTGGAGCATCTGTGAATGCTGAGGGGTAGGATCCAGTAGGCAGGGAGAGGTTAAAGATTCGGTTGGGGAAGGGAAATAACTAAAGGAGGTAAGTGTTTGAGAAGCCAGGGCTTGAAAGGATCCCAGAAGAAAATGGTGATGCAGATGAAAACAGACTTGAAGATTCAGTGACGGGAAGATGAGGAAGTATCCATATCAAGGCATTTGATTTATTAAGAAGTGGGGTTTCTGACTCAGAGTGAGAGGAGGGAGATAAGAGACTTGAGAGTGAAGGAGGTTGAAATAGTTTTGTGGAAAATGAAGACAACACTTATTAGGGAAACTTTTAAAAATATCTGGACCATGCTAGGGCTTTGTGATATTGATGACCAAGACTTCAGTGATTTTTAGATTTTTCTTCAGCCATGTACTAATATATGAATGATATATTTTCTAGCTGCAGACATATAAGACATATATGAAGAGTTGAATGAAGGCTGTCATAGAAAAATTATTATATATTATATATAAAGTACAAAGATGACATTTAAGCTAAAGGTGGCTCAGGAGCTTGGACTCTATTAACACAGGTTATAAAAGCTAAAGTTAATATATTTTATAAAATGTTTTAAAACCAGGAAAAGCTGAACAATTTTTCTTTTAAAAAGCACAAGCAAACTGTCCAAATTTTAGCCATATTTTTCATTAAATCGCAATTAAAGTGAATTGACTATACAATACACATATTGTTAAGATGCACAGGAACTGCACCATTAGGATCTAAGAAAGCTACAATGTAAGATTCAGGGCAGATATTTTTGCTTTTATTCACTTAAACAGCCTGAATGGCTAAGGGAACCAGATTTTTAGTTCAGGTTAAAAGCCAAAATAGTACCTTGAAAGTGATATGTAACCCTTTTGCCACAATGGCTTGTTTGTTTCAGAGCTATTTATGAAGAAATTGATGTTCATCACCGCAAAGGCACTCAAAATCATAGTGACTGTTAAGGTAAAGACTTCAATTTACACACCCTTCATTCCATTCTACAGGATTTCAGTGTAGTTATCACTTTTTCTAGTTAGTATTTACATTTTGTAAGGGCCACCTGACGCTTTAATGAGTGAAATATTAATATACAAATTCCTTCTAATCACTCAATTGAATGAACTATTTGTTCCCCAATGAAATACATTGTGACCTTGTTAACTAAAAATAATAAATCTTGGGAATGCAGAAATTCATCTGTGTCTAAAAATATTAATGCTAACAAAAACAGATGATCAATAAGAACTTTTTAGCACTAGAATCAGACATCTGTCTTATATGTGCAATTGACATCTGTTAACTGGGACAGGTAGAAACCATCCATTGTTAATCCAGATAGGTCTGGATGACTTTTATTTGCTGGACTAGTCATCCCACTTATTTATTAATGAATGCATGGCCACTAATAACCTATTAACCTTATTTATTCCCCTTGCACACCCCCCCAATGGAAATAGGACATTCCGCCTTTCCTCTACTAGTGTGTGGCCCTCTAGTTACCAAGGCATGGAGACAGGGAAGGAAAGGCTGGGATGGTTGACTATTTTCTGTTTCTTCTAGGTGAAAAGGAAGGACCAGCTCACTAGCTGCATTAGGGGTAACAACTCCAAGAGGTAGACTGCCCAACTGTGAGGCCCAGAAGACAAATCTACCAACACTTTAAAACCAGGGTGGAACACTTCTCCTTGGCAACAGTGAAATTTAAACAAAAGAGTAACAGTTCAAGTTTTATCTCAAAAAAACTTGCTTTTAACATTTTTCACTTAAAACTCCAACAGAAGAAAAAATTCATTGTACTGGGGCCAATCAGGTTAACTGGAGCATCTCAGGCGTTCCTACATTTAGAAATCATCACATGGCTGTGATGAGAGTAGATGGATATTATTTTATTACAAAATAATTCTGAATACATGTAAGCACAAAATGTAAGAAACTAAATATAGTATTCAGGAGAATAGTGAGTGCCTTCATTTAACTAAAGCCGAATATGTGCACTTTTTTATAAATAATATTCTTGTTTAGAATTATGAATTGTAAAAACCTTAATATTGTAGTTCCTATTTCATGTATCCTGAAGAGGTCACACAGGATGCTACATCAAGTTGCCTTTAAATACAATTCTTTATAATACTAAATGTTCTCTCTTTTTTTTATTGCAATTTAAATTTTTTTTGAAACGACTACTGGAAAATATTCAGAATAAATTATACATTCATTTGTATTGTAAACTACAATGACAAATAAATTACTATTAAAACAATTTAATACATCTTTTTTTTACAGTTTGTTCACTGCAGAACTTATGTGAGTAATCTTCACTTTTAACATTCAGGGACTTGGTGCTATCACAAGAAATACTAGAAGTCTAGTAGATATTTGCATTTCATTTCAATTTCATGATACCAAAACTTCAAAGTAATTATTCAGTACTCTGAATGTAAATCACCCTAAATCTTAAAGGAAAAATAGTCCTATCTGAAATCAGAATGTAATCTTTGGGCAAACTGTTAGGGCTTAGTGATTCCCTTTCCATTTGGAGCTTTTCAAATAGTGACTGTACACAATGAGAAAAAAAGTAGTAACCAAGTGTTTTAGAAATATAGTCAGAAGTTCTGACCTAGATCTTGAGACAATACTGGGCATAAAAAAAAAAAAAGTACTACTACAGGTATGTAATGCTAGTAATTTGGAAGGGACCATGCCTACATATTTAAGAAACAAAGCAGTTTCTTTTATTACTGCTTAGCAAAGTACGGCTTTGAACAGTCATACATTCTAAATAGGCAAATGGATTTCTTATAATAAAAAGCTGAACCTCTTCTCTCAATTTTAAGTAGGGTAAATTAGTTGGGGGGAAGTACATAATATTTAAAATAGAAAGCATAAAAAAGAATAGAATACATTATTGTAGAATGTTTCTCTTCTGAGAAGACAAGATACATGATTTTTCAAAAATCACAAATTTGAATCATAAGATACTGACGTCAATTATAGCCTGGAACTGGCAACTGGTGGCCCTCCTTTGCTTCAAAAAAAGTATAAGAAAGAGTGATGAGATCAACATTCACCATTCTTGGATCTTCAGCAAATTCAGGATCAATGTAGAAAAACACTGGCATATCTACTTCCTCTTGTGGATTAAGCCTTTGTTCTTCAAAACAGAAGCACTAGAAGTTATAGAAAGGTATTAGTTTATTAATATTTCTATTCTATTATCTAGAGTAAAAACTAATGGTGCATTTATTGGCTTTAATAAGCATACTGTTCAACGTAATCTTTAAATTCTGTGTTAGGGTAACAGCATCTTTTCATCTTAGATTGAGTTCTGCTTTAAGGATGGAGAATCAACAAATTCTTCTAATCTTAAAAGCAGATTTCCATTTAGTTTGGCTCTAAACCTCTACATAGCTGTTATAAGCAATGAAAAAAAAGTAGTTTGAAGTTTAGAAGAAATGAGTTTTCAGAAATCAATACCCACTAAAATACTGCATTAAACTTAGTGCTAAATAGTTTTATTGTACTTTTATCATATTCTATCGTTTGCATTTAGTTGTACCTGTATTTTATTGAAATACTGTCCAGCTTCAAATGGTACAACATTGTACGTAGAAATTCCGATTACTGGCTTGTCAGTAGGATTCTTAGCTTTATAAAACGCCAGTGCAGTCTCTCCAGGCACTACCTGTTTTTTTAAAAAAGCATATTCATTA